TGACAAGATGGACCACATACTAGAAAAGAAACCCATAGTGGTAATCCCGGTAATACACCGCCTGACAAAGGATCCCATTGGATGTTTCGGCGTTGGATTTTTGGCGTACCATCCGTTCATTTCCAACATATGTAGATAGAGTAGCAACTCTTGTCAACATGACCATCAAGCTTGCCAGCCCACATATTGTCGACTTGACCATCTCGCGCGAGAGGTCAAAGTCCGTGCGTTTGGTGTCCGTGACCGAGTCGGAAAGAATGACTTTGAATTTGAGAGCGCAGAGTGCGTTGTTGCAGGCTGTAGACCACCCGCTGCAAGTTGCAGCGGGTGGTCTGTTTTAAATGGATATTTTGTCGACGCACGATAGTGCTGCAGAATGAAAGCCAGACACCGGGAGCCAGTGGAGATGCTCTAGTGCCCGAATGCCCTGTGACGTCACAATCACCGGGAGGGGATTAAGATTCTCTCGGTATTCTTTCAAGTGCTACACCAGAAACACGCCACAAATGGAACACGAAACACGGGTTGAAGCGCGACGAGTAGACTCGGTTCCAAGACTTGTACAACGTATTCGTGCGGTGACGCATCTATTTTTCTTTAGAGACTTGGAAAAAGCACTTGCAGAGGCGTCAGGCAAGACAAAGCACAAGACAGCATTGCGGCGCGTAAAAGCGTGCAAAGCAGGTGGAAACCAGGCTACCAAATTCGGAGTGAGCCCTTTCGGGTCAGCCATTGTAAAACCACCTCCTTTCTCCATATTATACTCATACCGAGTCGACTGATCCGAGGCGTTGAAGATCCATTGCCTACTGGCAAGTCTCTCAATTCTTTTTGGATGCATACATTATTGTGAATAAAATTGTTCGTAATCTTGTCTGCGATCGACTGGACACAATTACGGCGAAGACGTCCGTGCGGCCGCGACAACTTGATCCAAGATGGTCAGGCGCGTGCGCGACGTGCGTGCGTTCAAGTGGTTACCACTGCACATGGTCGGATACCCCGTCGCGTCCGTGAGTAGGACCGTGTCGCCGTTCGAGTAGTTGTCGGCGTAGTCGAGCAGCGTTGCGTTCGCAGCTTTGACAGCGGCGTGGAGCGGGTCGAGGAACCACGCCTTTTCTTTACGAAACGCCGACCGACTAATTGGCGCCGGCACCTTGACGCTCGTACCACTGACCCACGTGTCGGGCACCATCTGCGGGAACTCGGGGCTTTGGTCGACGACAAACACCTGGATGCCGAGGCGCGAGAGCTTGAGCAGCTCGGCTTGGAGCGACTCAAAGATATGGCGTACGTCGTCTATGTTTTGCTCCTTGCACGCCACAAACTCGTACAAGCAGCACTTGGGCGGGTTCGTGTACGGCCGGTCGTTAGGCGCACCCGGGTTGAGAAACTGGATCCAATGCACGACGAGGAGGACGGCTTGCGGCTTGACCGTTGCGAGCATGTGCATGTTTTCTGCAAACTCGGGTCGGCACGGCAGCATTGCGCGGCCCCACCGGTTCTTGAAGACGATCGTCGGAAACGGTGTCTTGGACATTGTTGCATCGTCGAAGAGCTGCATGAACCGGGGCACCGACATGTCGGCGTGCGAGTCCCCGAGAACGACAAGCGTGCCGTCCGCTTCGTGCCCCGGGTTGATCACCTCGCAACGTTCGGGGTAGCCCGGATTCACCGGGTCCTTGAACGGAAACGGCACCGATGACGTGGCGGCGGTGATGTAAATAGCGTCAGGCGCGCAGCTCGTTGTCCGGACGTTCCAGTTGCCGTCGGCCATGGCTTGCTTGGTCTGTAGCACCGTCGTCATGGCCCGCGGCACCGCTGTCGCATCGAGGGTCGTGGTATTGACGATCGGCGGCAACGGCGCATTGGCAATCTCGATCTCGGTGGCGGAGAAGCTCGCCGGGTTCGTGTAGGCGCAAGCGGCAACCACCGCGACTGCCATCATGCCAACCACGAGAAGTGGCGTGACCCACTTGGAGTGGTGCCGCCGAAGTCGTCCCTCGAGGTCTTCGTACGTCGCGACGCTCAAGACGACGCTGAGCAGCAGCATCGTGATCGGCTGCATGTAGAACGGACGGCTCGTCACGTCCGGGTACCGCTCGATCGCGAAGACGAGGAGCGGCCAGTGCCAGAGGTAGAGGCAGTAGCTGATCTTGCCGACGTAGACGGCGGCGCGGTTGCTGAGAAGGTATGTGTTGACACTTGCGTCGGCGCCGGCGGCGATCAAAAGCGTCGCCCCGATTGTCGGGAGCAGCGCATAGTAGCCGGGAAATGCGCTCGCCTCGTCAATGCAAAGCAAGCCGAGGAGCACGCAAACCAAGCCGACGGCGGAGACGCAATGACGTCCCCAACGACTCGTGATTGCGACGCCGTGCATGTGGAGGTAGGCGAGGAGGCCGCCGAGCGACATTTGCCAAAACCGGCTCAGCGGCATGTAGAACGACATTTTGTTGTTGCCATCGTAGCCGAGAAAGCAAACGTTGGTGGCAAAGCTCGCGACCAGCACGGTCAATTGCAGCGCGATGGCCTTGCGGAAGCTCAGACGCATGACGATGGACGCGAGCAGCGGCCAAAAGATGTAGAATTGCTCCTCGACGCCGAGCGACCAGAGATGCAAGAGCGGGTTGGTCTTGACGTCAATGTCAAAGTACGAATGTTGGAGCGAGAGCACTTGGAGGTTGGCGCTGAAGAGCGACCCCGCGAGCATCGTCGCTGCCATCGCCTTGAGCTTGGGCGCCATGAGGTAGAGATACCCGAGCCAGAACGTCACGACCAAAACGACGAGGAGCGTCGGGAAGATGCGCCGGACGCGCCGGACGTAGAACCCCGAGTACGTAAAACTGCCGCGCTGGTGCTCTTTGAAGAGGATGCCGGAAATGAGAAAGCCAGAAATGACAAAGAAGATGTCGACGCCAATGAAGCCGCCGGGAAAGAGCTTCGGGTACGCGTGGAAGACGAGAACGGGGACCACTGCAAGGGTTCGAAGACCGTCGACGTCGGGGCGGTATGTGTGCGGTGTCGGCGACACGTCCGGCGTCGGCAGCAAAGCGTCTAGAGCAACGGGCATCTCGTCCGGTGATTTTGCGCGTGGTGCCTCGGGTGTTGTCGATGGCGTCGATAGACCGTCCATGAGCAAAAGTGAAAATGACTTAAGTTCATTGGCAGTAAAGAGAGCTGCCAACACGAGACGAATTTTTGATCAAATTGCGTGAGTAGGCATCGCGTAGGTACCATAGGTATCCAATTTGGCCACGTAATTCTGCAAACCTCGCAGGGAATATTTGATCGAACGCTGGTGGCAAGCTCCCAGCGCGGCAATGCAAACAACGCTGGGTGTAAACCAGCGCTATGACAAATCAATTCCCATGTGTCGAGAAAGAACGCGCCGCGGACGCCTAAAATTCCCATCTCCGAGAGAGTTGCCGGCAGCTGTCCATTACACCCTATCCCCCTTCTGTTGTGCACCAGTGTAGTGGTACTGTAATACAGTTGGTAACGGTCTCCCATTCCACCTACCAGCCACCTCGGGCAAAAACCATCGGTGGTGTTGATTCCATCCCCTTCAAGTGTAAATTCTACTCTACCATTTGTTTGCAATTCGAGTGCGAGCAAGGACACCACATACTTGTCTGTTGTACAATGGTGTGGCGACGCGTGCCGGCGTGACAGGGTGGAATGCAGGCGTTTCGGGAAACCATATGTCCGATCGCACGGGGAGCCACACGTTTACGACCGTTTGACTCATCGTTCAGACAGGCAGCCCAATAATTGAGACCCTCGTGTCTGTAAACTGGTCGAGTCGGATCGCATCGGTGCTATCGTTGAGGCACGAAGGTCCACTCGCGAATGTATGTCACTTCAAAGTGTCGCGAAACTACAGTACCAGGATCGCCTACACCCCAGCGACATCCAACGCGCGCACGGCTCAACGCATGGCAGACCCGTTGGACTGAGAACCGTATGCCGTGTCCGCAAGATAGCGCGTCGCTATACTTTCGCGACCCATGAGGCACTCACTGCCAGTGAAGCACGACTATGTGTCGCATCCAGGATTGCATAATGCACTACTCGTACAGTAGTCGGTGGTTCGATGCTCACGATAGGAGCAATAACATCGGATACACGCAGCGCCAACACGGTCAACGTTTGGACAAAGTCGAGCCGCTGTCCGAGCCGCTATAGTCTTTATGGCCAAAGAGGAAGAGAGTTCCTTTTCGCCGGCTGGCACCAAGAAAGATATTACTACAGAACGCGACAATATCCCTGCGAGCTGCAAGTTACCCTCCCTGCAGCCCCGCCTGTGTGATCGGCCTCGGTTTTGCAATTCATGGCGCACGCCGAACCCATGTATGATGCCTTGTACTGTACAGCTCTTTGGTGAGATTACAGTGCAGGCTACGCACGAATGGCTGCGCGGGCGACTGGATTGTGGACGTCGACGGCCAATAATGAGCCATTCATTGGATCTCGATTCGCAATACCCGGGACACGACGTTGGACATGCAGTGTTGGGTTGCCAACAGCCCCCATAATGACGTTCACTGCGGCCGACTCGCGTTGGCCGTCGCATCCGCTGCACAGGTTTGGCCTCCAAAATCTATTTGACGTCGCTGGATCGTATTCGTCAAGCACCCGTAGAGCGGGAGGGGCCAGTTGGGCGCCACTGCCGAGGAGAACGATGCGGAGCCCAAAGCACCGGTTCGTTTTTTAAATATATATATATATGTTGTGGCAGCTCCAGCGCCTTGGACATCCACGCCTCGCGGTGTGCAAGAATCAATGGTTGCGTGGTTGCGCTATTTCCTCAGCAGCGGGGTACCTTGATGGCGCTCACCATGAGCGAAAAGCAGCTCTCGTCTCGCCAACGGTCGCAGTCGCGGCGAGCACCTCGGACGATGCCTCGCCGCCGTTACGAGAACTCGGACAAAGCCCGGACCTGCGCTTCCAACGAAGTCTTGGGGGGTCTGTGCCGCCTGCATCGTCAAAAGACAATAACAACGGTGAGACTTGCCACGTCGTCTTCGATCTCATCGACTGCGAGGTGCGCAGAATTACTTGGGTCTTGGGCCAAGACACTGGCGCATGGGCACAAGAGCTTGTGTTCGACCTCGCCAACAATGTGCAATCAACCGACCTCTGGTGCATTTTTTGCCAACCAATCCGATGGCGTTGTTTTCTGTTTTGGACCAATGGCATCGCCTTATTTCGAGCAATCAACTGACGTTTTTTCGAAATATGGACCAATCACAGGTCAGCCGACGGTGCGGCTTTGGACGATGCACAGCGCTGAAGACCTCGCCGAGCTTGCGGCGGCCATTGCGCATGTCCAGCAGACGCTGGCGCGGTTGCAGTCCAAGGAAGAGACGGACGCGCTCATGGTCGACGTCGAACGGCGCATCGACGCCGGCGCCAGCACCGAAGACCTTCTCGTGCTGGACCTCGACGCCTTTCCGCGGACCCGGGCGCTCTGGGCCAAGCTCGGGCCCGCGCTGCCAACAGAGCTCTTGGAGGCCTTTGCTGCGTACAAGGCAGCGTACGCCCTCGAGAAGGCAAAGACGACCGAGGATGTTGCGCCAGCAAATCACGATGCCCCAACCGTCGACGTACCTGCTCCCGCCGCCGAGGCGCCGTCACCTGCGTCCATCGAGGCGCTATCCGACGCAGCAGCCAGCCAAGACGAGGAGCCATTGTTGGAAGAAGTTGCACCTGCAGAGGAGGACCATGCTATCACAGCGCCGCCATCGACGGACGAGCGCGAGGTGATGGAGTGCTCTGAGGACGTGGACGGAGCCGGCGACACGGAAGGCGACGACATCATCTCTCAAACGCCGCAAGACGAGAGCGAGCCTCCGACGCCCGACGAGCCCGTGGCCTCCGCGTCGATAGTCGAGACACCGGAGCGCAAGCTCTCGGATGCCAAAGAAGCGAGCAGCAGCAACCACAACACGCCGCAGCGCGCGTCGTCTCGCATTCGCGGCCGCGCCGGTACGCGCACCCTTCCTGAACACTACTGTACGATGTTGGTATAGATACCCAAGCGGCGGCGTCGCCCAAAGCGTCCAAGCGGCCGGTGGCCTCGACGGACGACGTCGACAGCGAGTCGGATGTCGTCCCACTCGTGCATCTCCGCAAGCGGTCCGCGCCCACTACGCCCAAGGGCGATGCCAAGTCGAGCGAGTCCGAGTCCCCACCCAAGCGTACGGCTTGCATGATTGCCGCGATTGGCATGTCATTTATCGGTCTCATTTATTCGGCAGGTACCTCTGGCCGGGCGTCGCGGGCCAAGGCGCCGCCCAAAGACCCTACGCCGCCCGCACGATCCTCAACGCGAAAAGAAACAAAAACCAAAAAGGGCGCCAAGAAGGTGATCGAAGTACGGACCATTGGCAATCTCTCTCGTTGAGAATAGACTCAAGACGGTGTTAGGACGAGAGCGAAGAGTCGGAAGTCACACCGTCACGGCGCAAGTCGACGCGGCGCGTTGCGACGCGGAAGCGCAAGATCAACGACAGCGACTAACTCGACACTTTTCCTTGTTGATATCACTTACTGTCCAACATGGCGATGCAATTGTACCAACTCTGTGTGTTCGGACAGCTTTCAACCACTAAAGGCCAAAGGGCTCACTCTTTCCAATCAAAATGACGTGGCAACACGAGACAAGACCTGGGTCGAGATCGTAGTGTCACTAGCCTTTCATAGCGAGGTGTTCGTGGACCCATAATTTGAACGCGCTCAGCTGCATCTCGGCGAGGCAGTTGATGGAAGGTGCGAGGATGAACGACCAGTCGCAGGACCTCCGGGTTTGAAACAGGTGGCATTTCTTGATGGCTTCGTACGTGTCGATCGCATTGAGTCGCTGGCCCGGCTACGAATCCCACTCGAGGCTTTCGTGTAGCAGAAGAGACTCGTACCGAGGCGCAGTCGGCTTTGGTAAAGAGGAGCCAAACGACGGGCGATGAAGCTAGCGACGCTGTCAGTGTTGCGAGGCGGTCGAGTTCCTTGGCGACGAGCGGGAAGCGAAGCACATCACTCATGTCGATGCAAAAGCAGACGGCGGCTACATCGGTCGTGTGTTGGTACCACAAGTGGCGTGCGTCTCGGTGGCCGGGCATGTCGACGAGCTTGAACATACGCCCATGGATGACCGTGGTCTTGACGCACGCCACTTTTGTCGGCGACGGCAGCGGCGGCGTCCACGACGACGGCTGTGCGGCCGTCGCCGTTGCGTTCGGGATACTCGCGAGGCCTGTACGCTTCATGGACAACTTGTCCACAAATGAGATAGGGCACCTACCGTAGACAAGGGCACTCTTGCCACTACCGTCGAGCCCCAGCAGTAAAATCGACTTGTCTCTACATATCACGTCATGAGATGCACTGAGAGAAAGAAGAGAGCGGTATCAAGTTTGTTTGTACTCACTCGGCTTTGCGGGTGCTCGTGAGGCTAAGCCGCCGAGACAGCTGGCTCGGGTGCACGGCCATCGAGCCCGTGTTGCCCATCCTGCGCGTCTTGAAACGTTTCAGTTCGTGTTGGAAACTGCAGCACCCAAATGTCGGACGACGTCGGTCGCCACAGCCGCTTGCGTGGTCTCATGCAATGACATTAGGAGACGCGAGACACATCGATCGACGACGCTCCTGATGCAGTGGTATGTGACCTAAGCGTGTTGCTCGCGGTGTCATCGTGCGTGGGCGGTAGGACGACGCTAGCCCGGTACGCGCATGGGCCACGGCACACCCGTTTTTTTATGGCACGAACATAGTCGAGGGACTGGAAGGTGGGCGATACTGTGCTTGCAAAAGGCGGGGGCATGTCGCAGTACGAACGCGCCGAGATTCGCCGCGTTCACCGTGACGGGTACCATGGTATCCGCTCGACGAGACCTTGAATTGAGAGCAGCACGGCAACGGTCGAGTACATCAAGAGTGGCAAGACAGAAAAGCGCGTGGCCAAGCTCAAGCACACAGACCGCGACGAGGTAGAGTGAATGGCGAGTAGCAAAGCTCGATCGCAGCAAGCTAGAGAGACGATGAGAGCCCCCCCCGACGCCCCCCCGAGTGCATGGACCGTCGGCCAGAACGTCCAAGTGCGCAATCTCGACAACCCCAGTTCTCTACCTCTCTCGTTTCCTTGGATATTTGTATGGAAGAGTGTTGTAGGCGTCTATGACGACGCAACGATCACGCGACTGCATGCATCGGGCGCCCACGTCGCTGTTCGGTATACCAGCGACGGGCGGAAAGAAAAACAGGTGGACATGACGCGTCTTCGTCAGCACGCTTCGCTTTGGGTAAGACGGCGTTCGAATGGCAATAACTGGCCGCAACGCTTTTCCTAGCGGCGGGTACTTTGTGGCGCGTTCTCGCGTGCGCCGTCTTGGACCAAGATGCAACCGGTGCTCTTTCAAACCGTCAACGGAGCTCGCGTGTCGGGGCGCATTCTGCGTGTGCGCGACACGGACTGCGACATCCAACACGACAGCGACAACGAGCATCTCTCCGAGCACGTGCCCCACGCCGCCATCTCGGGTGCGCCCGACATTTATTTGTGTTCAACTATCGCATGAGGATTTTGTCTAGCCAAGCGGTGGTGGCACAATGTGCGTCAGCCGTCGACGCGCTTTGCGATTCAAACCAAAGTCCGCTACACGGACGCCAAAGGGCGACTCCACATCGGTAAGCCTCGTCCTCCTAGAGGCGTGCGACGAGTTGTCATGGGCGAAACATTATGGGTAGGCGTTGTCTGCAAGCGACGCGCCAACAACACGTACGACATCCAACACGACAGCGACACGGAGACGACCGCCACCCGCATTGACGCTGCCGAGATGCAGCGCGTCTCGACGGCCTCGCTGTGGCTCGCCACGTACGAGGCGATTGATTTTTTCGAGTTTAGCGATTGTTGTGTAGCTTGCAGCAGTGGTGCAGTGGCACGATCGCAGTCGGCGCCCACGTTGAAGTGCGTCTCGGCAAGGTCGCACGGAATAGCGACGACGACGATGAGTGGACGCCTGGCATTGTTCGAAAAGGTGAGTGGCAGGATAGACGTTATGTGGACAATCTGTCTAGTGCGCGCGGACGGCAAGTACATGATTGCATACACGGACAAAGACGAGACGTCTCAAGTCGTTAAAGTGGCCGCAACCAATGTCCGTCGACCGCAACGCAACTGGACGGCGCTGCTTGCGATGCGCACGGCGACATCGTTTGAAGAAGGTACCGATATTGGTATTATCTAATGTTGATATTGGACATATATGGTCCAATAATTAGGCATGCGCGTCGAAGTGACGAGCGTCAACGAAGACAAGGCGCGTGTTCGACCGGGCGAAATATTGCGCAAGCACCACGATGGTACCGTGAGTGTCCGGTACGCAGAATCGAACCCCCGACCCGATTGTCACGGGCGGCAGGTACGACGACGGCAAGATTGAAAAGCACGTGCTCCGGAGCCGGCTTCGCTTCCTTGCATCGGCGCTGACCATTGGCACACGTGTAATAACTGCGTGTGTGTGTTTCAAGGCATTTAGAGCAATGGACTAGGTGGATGTCGCGCTCGAGACCGATCACGCGGGTCTCTCGAACGTCGTCGCCACCGAAGGCGTCATTGTATGGGTGTACCGAGACCACTCGGGCGTTGTCTTGGAGATTACCGACGATCTTGGGGACGTGTCGATATCACCCGACGTGAGCGTACGTATATTATGATTTCCTTGATTTTTGTAGTTTTTTGCTCAAGGACTCAGTGACCATTGTCGGTAGGTATCTGCGCTCCGGCTCCACGGGTACTAGTACATAAATATTTCATTGCTACCATACCGGTATGTTGCTGATACGAAACGCAGCCAGCGTCTTTCGACCCTTACCCTATCCGGGCACTCGGCGTCGCGGCTGGCAACCCTTTTCCTCAACACAGGCTTGGAAGCAATGATCTACATCTGGTTCCTCTTTGGTACGACATGTTTCCACTCTACTCGGGTTTTTAAAGAATTGTGTACATGTAGGACTCGGTGCTGAGATGACAGAGGCCATCGATGTGCTTGGTGCGATCAACGCACCGCAGTGGAATGCCACGGCCGTCTACGCCACGCAGCGGCCTCTCGTGCCCAACATGACCCTCTGCTTGGCGGCGTACGATAGTTTCGTAACAATATGGATTCAATGGGCTAACTGCGTTATTGTACTAGACATGGGTCGTTGGACGTTGCCTCGTCGAGCTGGCAGCTGCCGCAAAACTGGCTCATCGCACTTGTCGTTCTCAAGGGCGCTCTCTTCGCCGTCACGCTTGCACTCATGGGCTATGTGCTCGGCACGCACTGCCAACTCGTATGCCATCGGTGATTTTTCTCTTAATTTCTTTGTTTCTTGGTCCAAGGCTGAGCGACAAGGAGCGTAGGCTCGTGGACCTTCGCACGTTTGTGAGCCAAGGCCGGTGGCAAGGCCGGCTTCATATCGTGATGCTGACCGCGCTCCTCGGCTCCAGTTTTACGTTGCTGGTATGCGATAGTGCTTGACGCTGATGACTGCATTGCGACGCGTAGTGCTATGGGTCGCTGCACAACCACTTGGTGGCCAAGTGCTTGACCCCGTCCGTCACAATGGATGCGGTCAAGACGGCGTTTCAGGTGCATACGCACGCCACAGGAGTCTGCCTTACTTTTCGCGACAACTAGATTGCACCGTTTACGGTCCGCCCCGTGTACGACAACTTGACATATTTTCGAAAAATCCATGAACGTTGCTAGATACACGACCATTGTGGACCTGGTTCCGACTGTTGCGGCCACGGTCGTCTTCAATTTGTACCGCGGCGTGTGGCTCCTTCTCGTGCTGGCCGTGGCACCCGACCTGCTCTCTCGACTCCTCCTCGTACGTACCGTTCTGGACAGCAATTTTGCTTGATTTTGAATTGATAGGCCATTCCGATGATTGCCGCAACGGCCTCTATGCTGGCACTTGGCCTCGCAGCGTGGACAGTCTTTCTACAGACGCAAGCCGCCACCATGCAAACGTCATTGGAAATGGACTTAACAACCAACCAAGTTGAACCCATGATGACATGCTATTGTCTCTCTCTCAATGCTTTTTTGTGTAGGACATGGCAGTATCGCTCGTCGTGGCGGCGGCGTGGTTTAGCTACGTCATGGCTCTGCTGGTTGTACGGGCCGGCGCGCACTATCGGCTCGCAACCGTGCATCAGCGCCAAGGTAAAAATGATCGACCAAAGCCCAACCGATCATCAACACTTTTTTGTCCTAGGCACCATCATGGAGCCTTATGTGAGGAAGGTAAGGTTTCAACGGACTTGAATGTTTTGGGTTGATACATGTAATGACGTAGGCGGAGCGAGGGACCTTTGGCGTTCGTGCCCAGGACGAAGCCAAGTGGGACCGCCTCGACCAGCTCCAGCTGCAAATCGGGCTCGTTGCTTCCATCTGCATCGAGTTTGTGTCTGGTCCCAGCATTGTCGTGCATATTGGTCTCGTTCTGTGGTACCCTAACCCGATTCGATGGGTATGCGCGAGTACTTGGTCGTAGGTTGATCGTGGGTGGCGGCCTCGCGCAGACCACCGGGCTTGTCGAGGGCCACCCGATCCTGGTGCTTGTCCTTCTCGCGTGCCTCTGGCTTGTGCTTTTGATCGGCGCGCTTCTCCTTGTGTGCTGTGTCAAGGTACACTTTTACTTGCAGTACTTGGCAAATTGCACTTTTCTGGCATAGCGCACGGCGTGGTCGGGGCTACGGAAGGCCCGTCGACACGAACGGGTGGTGCCGCACGCCCAGCAGTACCAGCCCCGCGTCGTGCTACCATAGCCACCTTCATGCACTGAATCTTGTATGGAATCGAAGCGTCTCTCCAGCGTCAATAACCAGCTCATTTGAACAGAACCATGCGATGTTTGAAAATGTATAGGGCCGTCGGCGTATAAAGTCGCTAGCGTTTACACATTGAGAAACGTCCTCATCTATGTTTTGTTTGGCGGGGGAAAGGTACAAGCTAAGAGTAGAGCTCGACTGGACGAGCTCGCGTACAAACAACGTCGGCTCAAGCTTCGTCGGTCGCCCAGCAGCGATGACCCCACGCCTTGTCGCATCACCCGTCGGTTTGAGCGCGCCCGTCGTCACTTTAAACAGAATCGACTACTGCACGAGCGCGTGGCCCGTGTCTGGGTGGACCAGATCTGAGTTATGAACTTGGAACGCAACTCGGCCACAACGACCCCTAACCCCATCATCCAAACGGCAGTACCAGTACAGTAGTACCCTTAACGAGCAATGTACCCAACGAGTAAATGTCGGCGGCTACGGTATACTCCGTGCCGAGAATGACCTCGGGCGCCATCCGCTGGTATGTGCCAATGCCGTTTAGGGTCAACTCGTCCGTCTCGCGCGAAGTCGGTGAGCTTGGAATCTTTGACCGAGTCGAGCAGGATATTCTTGGACTTGAGATCGCGGTGGACGCTTGGCAGGTCGAACGTGTGGAGGTAGGCAAGACCAAAGACGATGCTTCGGACGCAGAGAGCCTTGTCGCGCCAGGTACACTGCAGGTATTTTTCACATTGTGTTGTTTTTATTTGACACATGTGTGATTTACCCGATCGACGTGCGCCATACAACCTCTATAAATGCATACGCACCCAACCATCGCCATCGACTTTGAGAGTCGACGCCGGCAAGATCGGCGGCGGCATTGCAGCGATGGCGTCCTTTGATGCGTTCGAGCTCCTCTCCGCGTGCTTGCATCTGAGTGCATTCGCCGGCGCCGTCATCCGCGACGTCGTGCGCTCGGGCCAAGACCTCGACATGGTCAACAAGGCCGACGGTGCCATCGTGCACTTTGATCCGCAGACGGTACGCCGGCCTCGTGAATACGCTTACGAGCCGCCTGTAGGTGGCCGACCGCCGGGCGCAACAGCGCATCGTCGAGTCGCTGCGCGGGCACTTTGGCCAGACGCTGCAGATCGTGGGCGAAGAAGGCGTGCTCGAGCCGCCGATGCCCGAGGACGTCACGACACCGCAGACGGCGCTCGTGGCTGGCGCATCCGCGGCGCTGGCAGCGGCCGACCTCATTGTGTGGATCGATCCGCTCGACGGCACGCGCAAGTTTACAGAAAAGGCGTACGACCAAGTCTCGGTGCTCATTGGCCTCTCGCACAAGGGGCGGCCGCTCGTGGGTGTCATGCACCTTCCGTTGTCGGCAGCCACGGCACGACGTACTACGGTATGCTGCGATTGCATAC